GTAGGGAAAATTATTAAATACATACCAATCAGATTTTTATTTTATAAGCTGTTTTATCTGATTAACAAGTCTAGTTTTCTGGATCACTTTTTGTCTTATTCTTGAACATGTACGGTATGTTTGCTGTTCTGTAATCCCATTATACCACTTCTGAATTAATATGATGATTAAAACTGCTTGCTGCTGTAACTGCAGCGTTGTACGCCCATTTTCTGGCATGGAAATTAGCCCCTATTCTTTTCCATTTTGTGTATTAGATTTGGAGTTTTGCTTACACGTCCAGTAGTAACGATTTCAGTTTTATGCTCATTTCCATAAATCAGATTGTCCAGTCTCCTCCAGTTCCTCATTTTTAATAAATATTATGCTGTGTTCCTTTAGCATTGGAACTGTTCCTGTATTATTTTTAACCTTAGTCTTGTGCTTACTATGCACTCAGTTCTCCCATTTTCCTTGCTGATTTTTTACTTACGTGGCTAAATTAGCCTTTGCTATTTGTTTCCATTTATTTAGTGAAATCTAATTGGTTATCTTTCATTTCCTGTGGCTGGTACAATCCTGACCTTTTTTCCAGCAACTGGAATCTGGATGGGGCTCTTGATTTGTCAGGGACAAATGAACTTGCTTCTCTGTGTGATGAAGAACAAAAGCACAAACAAAAAAGTCCTCACATTTGTCCAGACTGTCATTTTTACTTGAACTACATTTTTACAGCAGTAGTGTGTCTGCATTTTTACTGGTTAGATCATGAGCACATCTTCTGTAAGTCATGACTAAGAATGTGCTCGCATCACTTAAATTATCCAGTGGCAGTTGAAATGTGCATCAGTCTGTAAATATTCAAAGTTTGTGTATGCATCAAACAGGTGTATGCACGTTTGTAGGAATCTCTTCATCAAATGATTTGTTGAACACTGGGAAATCTCTCATGGAAAGTAAAACAAAGAAACTTGAACTAATCACAAGTCCCGTTGATGAAAGAGCAGGAAACTTCTCACTTTTTTTTTACTTTTTTTTTTTTCCAAAATGAGCATCTCTACTGCTCTTTTTATAGATTTTGAAAAAAGAAAGAAAATAATTCACTAAAGCCATTTGATAAAAACATTATTTTATCTCAACTATTCAGACTGCAGAAAGACAATGTGGTCTGCAGTTTATATTGTATTTTATTTTTGAAGTCTTGAATTGTATTTAATTTATCATACAGCAGTTTGTGAAGGGTGCTGTTACTTCAGGCTATTAGTAGTTGGTCTTAGACAGCTCGGTGAGACATCAAAATAGTCTCCAACTGCTAAAAACCCCAGCATTCTGAGCTACACTGCTATTAACCCTGTTGTTAATTCTTTGAAATCTTAACTTAAAAATTAACTTAACTTGAAATCAGACTTAATTGATAGTTTCTAAATGTGTTCTTCAGTATATTGCTATGTTTTCTCAAGAGTAATTAACTTTTTTTTATTGTTTTTTTTTTAAATATTGTGCACTCTTGCGGTGGGTTGACCCTGGCTGGATGCCAGGTCCCCACCAAAGCTGCTCTATCACTCCCCTCCTCAGCTGGACAGGGGAGAGAAAATATAATGGGAAGCTGGTGTGTCAAGATAAGGGCAGGGAGAGATCGTTCAGCAATTACCATCACAGGAAAAACACACTTGGGGAAATTAGTTTAATTTATTACCAATCAAATCAGAGTAGGGTAATGAGAACTAAACCCAAATCTTAAAACACCTTCCCCCTGCCCCTCCCTTCTTCCCAGGCTCAACTTCATTCCTGATTTCTCTACCTCCTCCCCACGAGTGGCACAAGAGGACAAGGAACGGGCGTTGTGGCCAGTTCATCACATGTTGTCTCTG